CCGCAAACTCCGACGGCAGGACAGCTTGGGGATCTGAGGACCAGATCTGGGTCTTGGACATATTCAGCTTCATCCCGTGGGCTTCGATGCGGGCTCGCCAGGCATCCAAGCCGCGGAACACAGCGGCCGCGGTGCCCACGAAGTACGTGTTGTCCAAGAAAGCCAGGCAGTCCCCTTCCGTGTCCACCGCACGCACGGCCATGCGACCGATGCTGAGAACATCCGCGGTGCCGACCGCGTAAAAGCCTGGACTCATCGGGCAGCCCTGGTCGAGGCCACGGATCCGGTCGACCAGCTGGGCGGGCTGTGACCCACCCCCCGCCACATGGCGTGTGCGATCAGGGAGCCAGGCCTCCGCCAGCGGCGCCAGAGCGGGCACCTTGGTGCGCGCGGCCTCCTTCACCAGGTCGCGGGGGATGTTGCTGAACGCATCCCCGAGGTCCACTGCCACCACCCACTTGCCTGGGCTCGAGTTGGCCATCGTGCATAGGCGTCGATGGAGGGCACCACATCCGTCCTTGGCCAGGCCAAACTGTTGGTCCCCCACCGCCTCCCGCATGTCTTTGTGGTGGACCTTGGCAGCACTGCGGCCCACCATACGGCGGGTGACATTTCCACAGCCCAGGACTCGCACATCCCCAGGGGTTGCCTTGGGGATGCCTGTGAGGCGCGCCGCCGTCAGGGCGGCTAGCGCCTCGGAAGGGAGGTCGCCGATGGCCAGGCGTGCCAGCGTGTTGGCCACCGCCTCTGCCCCATCCTCGTCGTGCTTGAGCGGGGCCCAGTGCTCGTAGCGTCCCCCTCCAGGCCCCGCCCCGCCGCGGCGGGGGAAGCGGCCAAACTGACGCTTGAGGTGGTTGGCCACGCGGCGATGGAGCTCTGCTGCGCCGTCGAGCTCGTGGGGGGCTGTGGCTGGCGGCATCGCCACATCGGCTCCCGCCGCTGTGGGCCCCCTCCCTGGCCCATGCGGGGCGGCCCCAGTGCCAGGGAGAGGGCCCCATTCGCCTGGGCGAGGCGCCGCAGGCTGCTGGGTGGTGCTGAACTTCCTCACCACCGCCGCTGCATCCGCCATGTCCCCCTGGGGCCACACTGCCGCTGCCGCCCGAGACATCTCTCCAGCTCGTGCGAGCTCGGTGACACGGCGTACGCGGGCCGCGACATGATCCTCGCGGCCCTTCGTGGTGACCGCAGTGCGCGTCTGGTCCTCCATGGAGAGCCAGGCGACATCCCACTGGCCGTCCTGAATCCACCGCAAGCGCTCTTGGAGACGCTCACGCCGTGTCGTCGGAGTTGGGGTCGCATTTTCGCTGAACAGCAGCCCGTCCAACGAGAGAAACACCTTCCACAGCCTCGTCAGCGTACTCGACGCCTGATCATCATTGCCCTGGCGGGCCTGCTCGATCGCCAAGCACAGCCGCACCTTCACGTGGCTGACGGCGGCCGCCATACTGTCGGGGATCATGGCCGTGGTGGGCGCCCCTTGCAGCAGGATGCGTTCCCACCCAATGGCATCCCACCAATCCAGATTGACAAAGCCGACCTCGTGGTACGCGTCCTCGTCCGTCACCTGATCGTCCAGGTAGTCGTCGTAGACGCCTGCTTCGAGTCCGCCATCATCGTCCGCTTCCGCAAGTGCGTCGAGTGGCGGCTGCAGGATGTCCGCCGTGGTCGGCGCCGCTGCCTCGGCTGCCCCCAGGGGAGTCCCCCGTGAGCCTGGGCCATACGCCCCTGGTGCGGCGGCGGCAGGGAGCCTCGGGGCGGCCCCAGTGCTCCCTGTCGCGCCATCTCCCTGGGAGGGAGGAGTGGGGGCCTGGCCTTCGATTGTTTCCAGCAGAGGCAAGATGGGACCCCCTCGGGCCTCCAGGGCTGCCGTGAGGCGTTCCCTGTCGCCCTCGGGAAGTTGGGTGAAGCCCACCTTCGCCGTCGCTGGTGGTAGGGGGCCATCGACGCATGCCATGTGGAACCACTTCTTGCCCGCGTGAGCCTGGGAGCCCACGGGTGGCGTCGCGGCGCCTGCCGCGCGCCATTCGCCCGCCTCGAAGCCTCCCATGCAGCGTGTGCAGTTGGCCTTCTTGCCGCGAGCCGCCTGGGCGCTGACGCGCCAACGAGTGATCCGCCCTCCCGTCATGCGGCGACGCCGCTGTGCTGGCTGGCCCTCGCTGTCCCGCATGTGGACGTCGGCGTTGCCATCCACGGGGATGTCGACCGCGTTCGCGTCAGTCGACGCGCGAGCGGCAGCGGAGGCGCACGGGGCGGCCCCAGCACCTCCGCTGCCTCCCGCAGCTGCCAGCACACCGCCTTCACCTCGGGCCGCCGCGGCGTTGCTCCCAGCCACTCGGGCCCCTGCACCTGTGTCCGCGGCGCCGCCAGCGGCCGCCGCCATCTCAGGACGTCCTTTCAGGGCAAGGAAGAGTGCTCGTAACAGTGAGGGCGCGAGAAAAGGAAGGGTGGCTGTCACCAACGGTTTGAGGGCAGCAGTGCCCCCCCCCTGCCCACAGGCTCCCCAGAGCCTTGGGGGGGGGACTACTACTACTACTACTACTACTACTACTACTACTACTACTACTACTACTACTACTACTACTACTACTACTACTACTACTACTACTACTACTACTACTACTACTACTACTACTACTACTACTACTACTACTACTACTACTACTACTACTACTACTACTACTACTACTACTAGACTACTACTACTACTACTACTACTACTACTACTACTACTACTACTACTTACTACTACTACTTAATACCATTACGGACGACTACTACTACGCCTTACGAGTATATTGCACGGCTACTACTACTACTACTACTACTGCACTTAATAGTACTACTGCAATCAATACTACTACTACTACTACTACTACTACTACTACTACTACTACTACTACTACTACTACTACGACTACTACTACTACTACTACTACTACGAATACTACTACTAATACTACTACTACTACTACTACTACTACGACTACTACTACGCCGACTACTACTACTACTACTACTACTACTACTACTACTACTACTACTACTACTACTACTACTACTACTACTACTACTACTAGTACTTCTGCTACTACTACTACTACTACTACTAGTACTACTTACTACTACTACTACTACTACTACTACTACTACGACTACGACTACGACTACTACTACTTACTACTGACTGACTACTACTAAATACTACTAACTCACTACTATAATACTACCTACTACCTCTACTACTACTTAACTACTACTACTACTACTACTACTGATACGACTACGACCTCGATACGACTGACTACTAAACGACTACTAACTACTACTGATACTACTACTACGACTACTACTAACGACTAGCCACTAAGACTACGACTACTATACTACTACTACTACTACTAACTACTACTAATACTACTACTACTACTATACTTCTAATACTACTACTACGACTACTACTACTACTACTACTACTACTACTACTACTACTACTACTACTACTACTACTACTACTACTACTACTGCTGCTGCTGCTACTACTACTACTACTACTACTGTAGGCACAATCAACATGCATTGAGTGGCTCAGCCGCTGGCACATGCCCCATGCCTCCTCCTCCTCCTCCTCCTCCTCCTCCTCCTCCTCCTCCTCCTCTCCTTCCTCCTCCATCGCCTCCCTCTCCCCTCCTCCTCCTCCCCCTCCTCCTCCTCCTCCTTAAGTACATCATCTTGTCAGCTCCTGGTTTACCTCATCTGGACTCGCGCACCTGCGTCGGGCCGGCCGCCGTCGGGCGCCCGGGGGTGCTCGAGCCGCGGCTGGGATTGCCGCGTGGCGTTGCGAGGGAGGATGAGGAGGACGAAGGAGGAGGAGGAGGAGGAGGAGGAAGGAGGAGGAAGGAGGAGAGGAAGGAGGAGGAGGAGGAGGAAGGAGGAGGAGGAGGAGGAGGGAGGAGGAGGAGGAAGGAAGGAGGAGGACGAAGGAGGAGGAGGAGGAGGAGCAGGAGGAGGAGGAGGAAGGAGGAGGAGGAGGAAGGAGGAGGAGGAGGAGGAGGAGGAGGAGGAGGAGTGAAGGACGTGGCGAAGTCTGTGCGAGGCCGTGAGCTTCGAACGGCCAAGCACGTTCTCTCGTGTGGCTCTTGCCGCCCGCCTCCTGCGCCCAGCGGAGCGGGTGTCCGGCAGGACCATGATCTCGGCACACACACACACACATGCAAGAACGCGTTGGGACTAGTTCTGGCCCCTCTTGAACGCTTCTGGGCCACTCCTGGGGCCCCACTCGAGGCCCCTTGGGGCTCCACAGCATCATTTTTTGGGGGCGTGTCTTGGTGCCCTCGTGGGCGCCTCCCCTGGGGCCTCTTTGCGGCCCTGATTGCGGCGCTGCTCCGGTCTCTTCTCCTGCCCCCACCGTCCCAAAGTATGAACGAAACAGAAGCACCTGTCCTTTTGACGCTCCCGCTTGTACTCGCCGCCCCATCCCTTCGTACTCGTACTCGTTCTAGGATGCAATTCCTGGGAGCTTGAATTCCGATCCGTCGCTGGTATATCAGAGGTCGAAAGCTGCCCAAGCTGTCTAATCCCAACTAGTCTGGCTTACTCCTGCTTAAGTTCGCTATCTTACCCATGTCCGGTTCGATCTTAGGCCGAATTTGACCTGGTCCAGGCTTATCGCCTTTCACAGTTTTGACGAAGACTTCCCAGAGGTTGCCACATATTCCCGCTTTCATTCTATAGTTACTGCTGCCGCTCCTGCGCTCACTCCCGCTCCATCTGGTGCTGCCAAGCGAGCGGCGCGCCTGGCAAGGTCCCTAAGCCAGCAGGTCGAGTTGTCTCGGGTGGTGCCAGGGTCACCACTGGGGGGGTCAGCAGCTCTTCCTGGAAATCGAGGTTCCAGGATTGAAGCTCGAGGATGTTTTTGGGCGTTCGGTGTCGTTTGGGAAGGCTCTGGAGTGTTCTGGGGCGCCCACTTCCTTGAGGAGATGGCGATTCCCCGCTGCACCGAGGTCTCCACCTTCTCATTCATCAACAACTCCGCCATGACCATGTCCACGCTCGCGGCGGTCACGAATCGTATCGCGGGGCTGCTGCGGAAGATCGACAACCTCGGTGAGAAGAGCCAGGCGCCGGGGAGGATGTGGCTCAGGGGCAGGACTTCGCCACGTGGGGCCGCCTTTCGTTACTGTTCCTTCGCCCATGGCCTCCACCAAGAGAGACACCTGCCTCATCCAAGTATTTCCCATCAGCAGCAAGAACGCGGTCGCACACAAAGCGAGGGAGGTTGCCGCAGCCTCCGATCCAGGCTGAGTCGCGAGAGCGCGAGGAGAGCGAGATGTATATCTATGTATACGCATCTGTATATAGCCTGCTGATATATATATATATATATAGAGAGAGAGACCCCCCCCAAACAACAAAAACAACAACACCAACAACAACAACAGCAACAACAACAACAACAACAACAACACCAGCAACAACAACAACAACAACAACAGCAACAACAACAGCAACAACAACAACAACAACAACAGCAACAACAACAACAACAACAACAACAGCAACAACAACAACAACAACAACAAAACAACGAGTGCGGACGTACTCCGTCTGGGCGCTGGCCCACCAGCGGCAGCTCGCGCCCTGCTCCTCAAGCGGTGGGAGCTTGACAGTGCACGGCAAAGCCCGAGGCGCTCGGGGGAACGCACGACTGGTATACTGACCGCCGCAGGCAGCACCCAGAGCAGCGCATCCGTGCGGGCGAGCCACAGGCACCACGGAGGCCCATGCCAAGGAACGCCCCGCTTGCCTCCGGGGTGCCCTGGGTCTCTCTTGGGTCTCGACGGCCTCGCCGTGGCAGGCGCGACGCTCCCCCACGCCCGAGAGCAGTGGGACGCCCCCGAGGCCTCGGGGTTGGGTCTCCCGCGGCAGGCTCCCTGTGGCCTGGCCTGCCGCGGTGGCGACGGAGCGACGTCGCCCGCTGCGCCCCGGGCGGCGGGCGCGGGGCGACGGAGCGGGGAGAGCCCCTCCCTCCTCTCTCTCTGGGGGCAGGCCGGCCCCGCCGCGGGCGACCAGGCGGTCCTCCCGTGGCGCACCCGCCGGGCAGGGCGCGGGGCAGCGGCGGAGGGCCTGGGATCGGTGGCGACGATGGGGGCGAAGAGCCCCGGGGCGGGCATGAAACACACGTGTTCGCCCGGGAGCCTCTGCGAAGACATGGGTCATCGGCGCACCTGAGTACGTGTATGGCTCTCCCCTGGGCTATTCGCCCCTATCGTCGCCTCTGATGGGGTGAGGCGGGGCATCATCAGGGAGGCGACTCAGGCTTTGAGGTGCAAGGGTCCGAGTATTCGTTCAGTTTGCTTGCTGATTTTCTGAAGAGTCTGTGGGAGTAGAGTCGCCTCCTTGATGGGGCATCGGCGGCGAGCGAGGGGGGAGGTGAGGAGGAGAGGGGGAGAAGGAGGAGGAGACGAAGCGGAGCATCGGCGGCGAGCGAAGGGGGGAGGAGGGGGGGGGGGAGGAGGAAGGAGGAGGAGGGGAGGAGGAGGAGAGGAGGAGGAAGGAGGAGGAGGAGGAGGAGGAGGAGAGGAGGAGGCGAGCGAGGGGGGGAGGAGAATGCCCCCTCGGAGGGCGGCGGGGCCTCTCGGGAGCCCTCGGGCCTTCCGAGAAGGTTTCTTTGCGTCTTCGGGGAAGGCTTACAAAAAACTTCTCCGAAGGCCAGGGGGAGTTCCGAGCCTTCTGAGAAGGCCCGCCCTTTCTCCCTTTCCCTCCTCGCTCGCCGCCGAGAGCAGCCCTATGAGCGCGTCTGATGGGCAATGATGGCGTCGGCCGAAACGGACGCCAGTACCGCGGTGGCGGAGGCGGCGGCGGCACGGTGGCCCTGACGGACGGCGTTCCAGGCAGCCTGGACCTGGTTGACCCAAAATGGGGTCCAACTACAAGAGGGTGGTGCAATAGATCTGGTGCAATAGATTTGTGGGTTGCAAAAGACTTGGGGCGTGCAAAATATTCCTGGGCGCAAAAGTATGGCTGAATTTTCGCGTGCAGCACAGCTGTTGCAATACAACGCAGTACAATTATCCAGCGCCATGCACTTGCAGTACAACTGCACCAAATCTATTGCACCACCTGTCTGGCGGCTGCGGCGGCGGGCGCCTCGGCAGGAAGGGGTCCACCTCCGTGGTCGGGGTGGTGACGTTTGCGTTTGATCCCGTGTTCTCTGTACCTTGCCCGCCAGTGTGGGACGGGCAGGGCTTTTGTACCGCGGATTGAAGATGGCCACAGCAATGCTGTGCAAGACCAGGGCAAGCTGGTGACGGGTCTTCGCCGCCTCCACGACGTGCGGGGGCACATGGTGCAGGGACACGGCGTCGGTGGCCAGGGGCATCAGCCTGTCGGTCGAGATGTTCGGCAGTGGCGGAAATGACGCTGGCCGCCATTCCTTCCTCGCCGAGATGGCATTTTCTGCCCGGAACATGTTTGGTTTGACTTCCCTGGCTCCTGATCCGCCGTACTTTGGATGATTTTCCGACCTAAACTTGTGTCGGAAATCGACGCCAAAGGAGCCTCAAGGGCGGAAATCGACGCTCAAAGGGGCCTCAAAAGTAGGGCGGAAGTTTCCGCCCTACTTTCGAAATCGCCCAAAGTAGGGCGGATCAGGAGTCAGGGTTGGAATAGTTGGTTCATGCGGATCGATGGGTCAGAATGGTTGCCTTGTCGCTGCGGCGGTGCCCCGTCGAGCAGGACCTGGAGGCGGTGAACGGCGGCTTGGGCGTTGGCCTCTCAGCGCTGGCGACCAGGTGGAGCAGCGCCAGCGTCTCGGCACGTTGCGCCGTCGTGGAAAGGCCGTCGACACGGGCCGAGTGGTTCCGCCGGCGTGTTGGACCGCAGAGGATCAGCGCGGGCGAGGAGATGGTGGGTGTAGCGGGAGCACGCAGCATCGGTTACCGCGCGTACCCATCCAATCCAGCGCCCAGGTCGCTGTAATCTCGGCGCACGTCCCCGCGATGGCGCGCGCGCGACGGGATCGCACCCCGCTGCTCGTCGGGGAGCATGGAATTGAGGGGGCGGCGTTGGTGGGTCCATCAGCGGCAGCGCCACATGGCGTGCTCTTGCGCGCCCCCTTCCTTGTCGCAGTTCAGCCCAGAGTCGACGTGTCGGCGGAGACGCCGGCACGGGCTGCGCGCTGGTGCACGTGGTCGCCTCCGCGCAGGTAGTTGAAGAGGAGACCCCGCTGCCGCGGGGTGCAGCGGGCGCAGCCCGTCATGCATGCCAACTGAGTCGCGGCAGACATGTCGACCCCCTGAGGGCAGTGGCGCAGGGACCTTAGGTCGTGCCTGGCCTATGGAAAGCGACGCGCATGCGCGTCGCTGGTGCGCCCTACACATGTGCGCGACAGTGCTTGCTGGGGCGCCAACCTATGGGGACGACGGCGCCCCGGTCGTCGCGCGCGCAGCGGATGTAGGGCCGGGACTCGTCGAGCTGCGCGACCGCTTGCTTCGGGCGCCCAACCGGGCCGCCCCCGTGCTGGGTCTGGACAGGCAGCGAGCGCGTCACCCGGCCTCCCAGACTCTCGGCGAACCCGGCGGCGGACCGCGAGAAGGCTCTCGCGCCGCGCGATGACGCACCGGCCGAGCGCGCACCCCGGGGCGCGGCGATCGGCACGTCGAACGAGAGCCAGGCGCGGCCCCGCGGGCGACTGGCACCCAAAATGGCCTTGGAGCAGACAGCTCGGCGCCTCTCACCAGGAGCTTGCGCGCGGGCCCACGTGGGGCAGACGCTGGCGGCCCGGGGCCGAGCGGCCCCGGCCTCGGCCCCACAGGCCCTCCGGCAGGCAGGCCACGCGCGGGCACCGTGCCTGTGCCGTGAGGACACGGGCACCCGAAGCTGAGCTCGTGGAACGCAGGGGGCGGCAGCCGCGCCGATGCGCGGCCCGGCCAGCCCCGACTGGGAACGGACTCGGAGGGAGGGCCCGTCGAGGGGAAGGGCCGAGACCCGGTCGAACAGGGCCGCCCCACCCCCCCCCCGCGCCCCCGATTTCAATGTTCAGCCGCGCGCGCGGCGCGGTCCGCGGACGCCGACGGAAAAAACGAGTCGCGTGTTTCGGCATCAATATTGAAATTCTTGACGCTTCGCGTATCCCCACCAGCCCCGACCTCTGTGTTACCCGACAGGCTGGGGCTGGCGTCCTCGGCCGTTCCCTTGTCCGCTCTTGGACGTTGGAACGTTTTCGCGCCATTTTGGCTGCGCTTGGTGGTCTCGGTGCCTACCTCAGGCCTGTTGGACGCACCTGCATGCCCGTTCAGGGGCTGTCATGGCACCTGGATTGTATCGTCTTCCCTGGACGCTGTCGTGAGCCGCCTGATCCGCGGCCCTGCGCGCGTTAGGTAATTTAGTCGCGTCCGCGGCCCGTTTGCGACCTTCCGCCGCTGGCGCTTCACAAAAAAAACAAACATATTTTAAATATACAAAAAAATATCCCCACCAGCCCATCCTACACCAGGCACTCGAACGAAGAGCGCCGATGATCGGCAGCTGTTCTCCTCCCCTCTTCCTCCTTCTCCTCCGCCTTCTCCTCCTCCTCCTCTCCTCCTCCTCCCTCTCCTCCTCCTCCTCCTCCTCCTCCTCCGCCTCTTCCTTCTCCTCCTCCTCCTCCGCCTCTTCCTCCTCCCTGGTGGCGTATTGGAAGTTTCTTCGAACGTTTTGGTGGGCTCTTGGGCCTTGCGGGCGGGCGGGCGGCGCTCCGCCCGCCCGCGCGCAGAGCCCAAGAGGGGGTCCAAGACGTCTTTTGGAACAATCTTGGAGGAGATCGATCAACGAAGGGGGGTTCCCTAATTACAGTCCCCCCCTCAGGAGCCACGATCCTCGTGAGGGGTGTCGAATTTTAGCCTTCCCAGGAGTCGATCTTGGACGCTCTAACTACCCGCGGCCCCCCCTGTCCAGGTCATTGGGGAGGGGGTAGGGGGAGGGGTAAACCCCTCCCCGAAGGGGAAGAAGGAGGGGTGGAAGAGGAAACGCTCTAAACCACCGACGCCCAGAGGGCTGGTGGGATTTGGGGGCATGGGGTGCCGATGCGTCGCGGGAAAAGCTTGCGGGAAGCTTCGCGGAGGGTGGTCGGCGCCCGGGCGACTACCTGGGCCTCCCCCGCCCCCTTTCTTCCCTCCTTTGTTTTTTTCTTTGGTTTTTCCTTTTTCTCTTTTTATTTTTTTCTTTTTTTTTTTGTCTGGTTTTTCTGGCTTCTTTTCTTTTTTTTTTACTACTCCTCCCTTTTTTTTTTTTTCATTATTTGTTTTCTCTTCTCTTCTTTTGTTTTGTTTTTACTGGTTTCTTTTTTTTTTGTTTTTTTTTTGTTTTTTTTTTTGTCCCATGATGACCAAGGGGCGCCCGCCGTCCTTTCAGGTAGGGGGAAAAAACACACAAACACAATTAAACGTCGATTCCCCAGAAAATATTATAAAACATGGGAAGTGGGGGGGAAGACAAAAACCCAGAAAACATGGGAAAATATGGGGGATATTTTTATTTGTGTGTATTTCTTTGTGCGTCCTGGGGCCCCTTCACATGGGTCGACCCTCTGGCCGAGGGGCTCTGCAGCAGCGCTCCTGGCGCCGCGCGGCCGGCGCCCTCGTAAACCCCGAGCGGCCCCCGCGGCCTGCCTCGGTGGAAGCGGGCCTTGGCTGCTCGTCCCGAACCTGCAGTCGGGCATGTCCCTCTACAGGAGGAATACAGTGAGCGGCTTGCATAAGGAACACTTACTTTTCAAAAGGGGCTCGGTCGTTCCTTAGGCTTGCATGCGTTATTTATCGTTCCCTATGCGTTATTAATTATTTGCTCATCGTCCCTTAGGCGTTATTCCTGGGAAGAAAGGGGCTTCGTTCCTTATTTATCGTTCCTTAGGTGAGGCCGATGACTGTATTCCAAATAGTCACAAATAGTCTGAGGACGGTTGTTCGGTTATTATTTGACTATTTTGCCTATGTTTTGCCTATTTCTAATTTTTCCTCCGAAGCCCGCCTGTATGGGGACATGCCCGACCTGACCCGAGCAGTTTTTGACAGGGCCCCCGAACTCCCGGCATGGATGATCTGGGCCTCCCGGATGGGGTCGGAGCAGATGAGGCGGGAGGATCGCGCCGCATCGCCGATGCATCGGCGATGCGGCTCGATGTGGAGCCTGGTGTTCTCCGCGCTGGCGTCGCCGATCCATCGCCGACGTCGCCGGAGCGTCGTCAGTGCATCGGCGATGCCGGGAACGACCAAAAGGCGTGCGGCGCGAGGGTGGCGGGGCTGCCTTGGTCGCCGCGAGCTGCCGGGAGGTCACCCGCGTCCTCACGGCCGACCACGAGGTGCGCCTCTCCAACCTCATGCTGCGCACCCCGGACCAGCGTCTTCTCGTGCAGAACCTGGACCTCAAGCTCGGGGGCGACGAAGGACGCCTGGCGGGGCACTAGCTGACGTGACCCCCCCCCTCCAGAGAAAGGGCGCTCTCCAGACAGAAGCACCACCTCGAAGGCCTCGAAGGCGCTCCGGCGGGATTCCTTGCACATCCGAACGGGAGGGGCAGGCGCGTTGTAACTCACTTCAAGACCTTGCCCAACTCTGACCTCAGCGTCCCCCAGATAATTGGGTCCTAGATCAATGTCCTGACTGAGGAGTTCCCCCGAACGGCGGTAGCACTCATCGCCCAGCTCGGCCTCCTCGCGGGCCGAAAGAAAGATGTCGTCATATCTTGGGAACTCGAGGCCCCCATAGGTTATCATCTGGTTGGAATGCGCATGCTGAGTTAACGAGGACCTGTGCGGGCACGAGCTACAAGCTGCACGATTCCCTCGCGGCTCTAAAAGACGAGCCCGAGGTTCACCAGAGTAAACCCACCATGCACCAGCGATGCTGCAATACTCCCTCCGTTTCCAAGTCCCCTCACCCGCAAGTCCCTACAAGCCTTCCACTTCACAGCAAGAAGCGCCACGTTGAAAGACAGCCGCACATGTGCTTGCCGTTCAAGCGAGAGCCCGTTCTGAAAAGGAACGGTGATGAATCTTTTTAGCGGGTAAGAAGGGGTGCGAACAGGTAGTAGCATACATTTCAACGGGGTGTCCAGGGAGATCCTTGTTTAAGGGTCCGAATCTGTGTATCTGCTGCACACTTGTCTACGTCTGGTCTTGAAACTTCGAGAAAGTCTCAAGCGAGAGCTCCATTTTGAATATGAATCGCCTCCACCCATGCACTGCTACATGTGTTTAAGTGCCTGGTATTAAGATTTCGATTCCAGCGGTATTCCCATTTTGAAGGGGAACTATCTTCCGTCCTTATAGCTGTCGCAGACGGGTACGACGACTATGCGCGGCGCTACGGCGACAGGCATGTTTTGAACAGAAACCGTCCTCCACCCTTGCAACGGTTGCAACTGTTCAAGACGGATGTGCGTGGCGCCTCGACGGCAGCCCCATGTTGAAAAGGAACCGCCATCCGCTTTTGTAATTGATGCAGCCGCTGAAGGCGGATGTGCGCGGCGCTGCCCCCCGCCCGCGAGCGAGGACCCGCCCGGCTGGCCATCGTGGGGCCCTCCGGCGCGGGCAAGAGCAGCCTGCTGCGCACGCTGTCGGGCCTCTGGGGCGGCGAGAGCTCCGGCAAGGTGCTCTGTCTTGCTGCGGTCCTGTGTGCTGGCCGTTGGTCTGAAGTCGGGCACGTCCCTCTACGGGAGGGGTAGTCAAGAATAGGCAAAAAATAGTATATGGGGACGATTGTTCGACTATGTTTGACCATTGGGGGTATTTGTTTTAGTGTTCTTAGTTTGTCTTCCAGAATCCGCCCTAAGGGGGACATGCCCGACCTAACATTGCTCGCAGGGAGAAGAGGCTCTGCAGAGGTGCCGATACCGCTGCCCTTCCCTCGTTGTCGCCCTCTGGGTCCCCTGGGAGGCCCTCGTCGCCACGGTTGGGTTCGCGCCGAGATTCCGGTCAGAACGCACCCCTGGGAGAGCTTCAGCAGGGCTTTCGTTTACGTAAGTCTGTCGTCGAGGGTGGATCGAAGAAGAGCAAGCGGTATAAGCATACATTTTCGACGGCCCGCGCAGATTTTTGTCGGTCGGCGCTGGGCCCCCCTGGCGGCGCCTCTAGCGCCGCATCGGCCGCGCTCCGCGCGCCGGGGATCCAGCGCCGATCCAAGAAATCCGCGCGGGTTTCCGAAAGTTTATCCTTATGCTGGGTCTTCTTCCTCTAGCTCTGCCATTTCGGGTCGAGGCTGCCAGATCTCCAACCTTTTTTTCCAAATCCCGGACTTCTCGATTTCGGCCTCTGGATCTCGTTATCGGGCCCTGGAACCATCAGAAATGGATCCGGAACGAAAAAATGACTCTGGGGAAGGGGTCGGGACTTCCGGGCCGCGGATAGAAATAATCAGACCAGCGGATGTAAGGGTCTTCGTCCTGGTCGTCGTCCGCCTCCTCCTCCTCCTCCTGGTCCTCCTCCTCCTCCTCCTTCTGCTCCTCCTCCTCCTCCTCCTCCTCCTCCTCCTCCTTCTGCTCCTCCTCCTCCTCCTCCTCCTCCTCCTCCTCATCCTCCTCCTCCTCCTGTGGGGCCGCGCACTGGAAAAAACACATCGTCGGATGCCTTGCCGCGAGGATCGAGGGTGTGAGGTTCGAGACTTTGAGCGTTCCGCTGGCCCCTTCTGGGCGGCCTCGGGGCCGCGGCCAGATCCGTCCCGAGATCCTGGGCAGAGCGCATCCCGAGAGAGGTCTGGGGCGCGACTCCTGAGGGAGGCGCCGTTGCTTGCTTAGTGAGAGGGTAACCACTCGCGCGAGTCTTGTGCGGCGGCCTTGTGCGGGGGACACTGTGCGTCTTTTGCGGGGCTCTTGTGAACGCACTTGGGATTAGATCCGTGCAGGAGGAGGAGGAGGTGCAGAGTAAGCAAGATATATATATATATATATATATGTATAGATATATACACACATAAATGTATATATATATATATATACATACGGCTCCCTTGCACAAGACTCCTTGTGCGCCTTGTGAGCCGGCACTCTTCGCTCCGGTAGTTTGTCTGGTCAGAAGGGTAATTGTTGGCTTGCTTGCTTGAGCGAGCGTGTATTTTTGAATCGACGCTGGTCCTGCTACTCCGGGCGTTCTGGGGTTCCATGAAATGCACGAAGTTCGCGGATTTTATAGATTCCGTGTGCGTCACTGATTTCGTGGGTTTCGTGGATGTTGTGGATTTTCCGTTTGTTTCTATGGATTTCGTAGACTGCCACGAACACATCTGAGCTTCGAAAACAGGATGGTGAAAATCAATTGTCTCATGTAGAGTCTGGCCAGCACTATACGCGGTGGGGGATTCCACGAACTCCACGACATCCACGAAATTTGGATTCTGTGGGTTTCGGTGATTTTTGTATATTTCCGTGGACTTCGTCGACTTCGCGGATTTTGCTGATTTTCTTAGATTCCATTGATTTTGCTGACTTTCGCTGATTTCTTGGAGTTCGTTGATTTTCGTTGGTCTCGTTGATTTGCATAGACTTTGTGGATTTCGGCGATTTCCGTGGACTTCGTGGATTTCGCGTATCTTCGTGGATTTCGTGGATTCTCGTGGGTTTCGTGGAGTGTGTAGATTTCGTGAGTGTTGCGGATTTCATATTAGTGTTGTGGATTTCGTGGAAGTCCAAAATGCCCAGATGGTTTCCCAGAGTCTAAATGAAACAATTGTTTTTCACCATTCAGTTTTCGATACTAAGACGCGTTTGTGGCAGCCCATAGAGAGGCTCGTGGCGCTCGTGGAATTTACGACAACTTTCGCGGCGTTCGTTGAATCCCAAAACGCCCAGCCCCATAATACGAGTGAATAAATTGAAGCTAAGATGAGTTCGTAGCAATGTACGAAGTCTTTCGTGGCTTTCGTGGATTCCACTCACACTTCCGCGCGCTCACACGAAAGTTTTCGCGGTTCCGTGGGATCCCAAACGCCCATGTCAGAATACAAGGGCAATAGTAAATTTTCACCGCTCAGGTTGCGAAGCTAAGACGTACTTGCGGTAATCCACTACATCTTTCGCTGCGCTTGTGGAATCCACGCACGCTGTCGCGCGCTCGCGTGAAAGTTTTGGCGATTCGCCATGCGTCGCTGGCGCGGTCTGCGAGGGGGCGCTCCCTTCGCGAGGACAAATGTGAAACAGTTCGGGGCGCCGATGAAATTTGTTGTCCTTGGCGCGACGCAGCGATAAGCTTCCCCCCTTTACTTTTCCATGAAGCAAAGTTCTGTGTTCGATGGCATCGTCACTATTAGTTGTTTCCCTCGCGGGCGCGTTCGCCGGCGCTCGCGCGCGCGCTCATGAGACGAGGGCAACTGTTTCACAGTGGCGCAGGCTGGATTCGGCGTCGCCCTAACATACTAATACTATGTGTGCGTCGCCCCCCAGGGGCGACGCGCGCACCGAGAAATCTTATATTACATACGTCGTAGTGGGCGCTTTCTGTTCACCCCGCGCGGGAATCGATATACTACAATATAGTTATACCATCTGTTCGGGTCGGACGAGCGCCTCACAGGAGATCATATAGTTCTAGTCTGTATTTGTGCGTCCCATGGATCGCGAGATTTTAATTCCACTGAGTGTGGGAAAGCAGCGGGACATGGGTGACCGTCGAATTCACGATTTCGTTGTCGACTTTTGTTGGCTGGCACCGTTCAACCCTTCAGGGCAGCCCAGCGCTGTCAAATCTTAACAAACTCCACTGAATGTGGGAAAGCAGCGAGCGCACGCGGTGCTCGCGCGTGTTCATGCGGCGAGCGCAAAATTTTCACGGTGGCACAAGCTGGATCGTGGAATGCTTAATCCTCCACGGGGTGTCGGAAAGCAGTGGCGCCTGGTGGGCCAGGTGCGCCGCTGCCTGCCCTAGGGCCCTGAGGCCGCGCCCTCTCCTGCGGCGGCGCACCCGCCGCGGGCGCGTGGGCCCGAGGAGGAGGGAGGAGGCGGGCGGAGGAGGAGTATAACAGAGGAGGAGGAGGATAACAGAGGAGGAGGAGGAGGAGG